TTGCAGTTTTCAGCATGTGACTAATCTAACACGTTAAAATTTGAAATCCGTATTTTTTATTTATCATGTAAATATGTGAAAATAATATTTTAAAGGCAAAACTGTTGGGTGCATTCAAATGTACAGTATAAATTGAGATGACAAATTTATTTCAGTACGCTTATATTCAGAGCCTTGTCAGTAGAGTGCTTAATGAAGAACATTTAAACACATGTCAAAACAGATGAATATTTAGCTTCAATTTTCCAGTTTTGAAGAGAAAAATCAAATTGTACTTGTGTTAGTATACAGGTGTAAATTCTAAAACTGATTAAACCTATGACCGGAGAAAATCAGGTTTAATTACAAAGGGTAGGCTTTCATTAGCTTTCTCTTTTAATTGTAAAATGGCAAACTTATGTTTGGGATTAAAATCACACCAAAGTAATTTCATTATTTCTGCCTACGACATGAAATAGAAAGTGATACTCATAAAAAAGAATAGACATGGCTGCTGGAATGCCATATTGTTCAATTTTTGAGTCACAGCTTCTTAATTTAGAAATATACATAGAAGTAAATTTGTTATTTGTACAGTTTAAATTAATTTTCGATACAGTCAACTGGTTTGGACAGAGACCGTAGTTCAAATGGATCAATCCTATTAGAGTACAAAAATTAAAATAGGTTGTTTGTAGCACAATTTAAAGATACAGCACGCAGTCAGGATTTGCTATAGTTCTGAGGGTATGGCCAGCAGGTCAGTCTGTACCTGTGAGACGAGTGCATCAGCAGCCTGATGGCGCCTTCAGACTTCCAGATACCCAAAATTACTGCTTTGCCTTTGGCCAGACCCAAAAAACTTGGGGCAAAGTTTGCCAAGATAGGGAACAGCCAAAAGTTAGGTATGTGGGAGACACACCCACAAACCACCTCAGGCTCAGCTATATAATTGGAGGCATGGTCTCTCTGGTTCCTGATCGAACTACTTAACGGCCATGATCCCAGAGACTCAGAAACAAATCTCAAAACCCAACAGCTGTTGGCAGAAATGCGTCCGGTCCCTGCATTAGGTTACCGGCGCTGGGCCATCCCAGGTGGGAATAGGTTTCGTGCCTTGGCCTGTTCCCCCTGGCGGCCCAGTGGCTGCCATCCTCCAGAGGCCACTAGACAGTCTGGGCCTGCAGTGATGAGACACACGAGGCCTCACGGGATAGGGGTGGAGCCGGCCCTTTCCTCCCCACCCCAAAAAGACCCCAAGTCACCGCCCATGAATGGCCTCCATGGCTCCTGATCAAGCTGATTAACGGCCATGATCCCAGAGACTCAGAAAGAAATCTCAAAACCCAGCGGCTTTCGGCAGAAATGCGTCTGGTCCCTGCAGTAGGTTACTATCACCTGGCCACCCCAGGGTGAAAAGGGTGTTGTCCCTCCGCCTGCTCCCCCTTGGCGGCTCGGTGGCCATCATTCACCAGAGGCCATTGGACAGTCAGGTTTGGGCCTGCAGTGATGAGACACGTGGGGGCCTCACAGGATGGGGGTGGAGCCGACCCTTTCCTCCCCACTCCAATGAGACCCTGAGTCACCACCCACGAATGGCCTCTCTGGCTCCTGATCAAGCTGTTTAATGGCCATGATCTCAGAGACTCAGAAACAAATCGTGGAACCCAGCATCTTTTGGCAGAAATGTGTCCAGTCCCTGCAGTAGGTTACCGGCACTGGGCCAACCAGGTGGGAATAGGTTTCGTGCCTTGGCCTATTCCCCCTGGCGGCCTGGTGGCCACCATCCTCCAGAGGCCATTGGAAAGGCAGGTTTGGGCCCGCAGTGACGAGACAAGAGGGGCATCACAGAAAGGGGATGGAGCCGGCCCTGTCTTCCCTATCCCAACAAGATTCTGAGTCACCCACCATCCATAACGGCCTCTCTGGCTCCTGATCAAGCCATGATCCAAGAGACTAAGAAATAAATCTTGAAACTGAGAGGCTCTCGGCAGAAATACATCCATCTAGACCGCACAGTAGGTTACTGTTGCCAGGCCACCCCAGGAGGGAAAGGGTGCTGTCCCTCCACTACTCCCCCTTGGCGACTTGGTGGCTGCCATCCATCAGAGGCCATTGGTCAGGTTTGGGCCTACGATGACAAGTCACGCAGGGCCTCACGGGATGGGCGTGGAGCTGGCCCTTTCCAACACACCCAAACGAAATCCCGAGTTGCCACCAATGAACGCCCTCTCCAGCTCCTGATCAAGCTGTTTAATGGCCATGATCCCAGAGACTCAGAAAAAAATCTTGAACCCAGTGGCTTTTGACAGAAATGTGTCCTGTCCATTCAGTAGGTTACTGGAACTGGGCACTCCCTGGTGGGAATAAGTTTCATGCCTTGACCTGTTCCCCCTAGCAGCCCGGTGGCCACCGTCCTCCAGAGGCCACTGGACAGTCAGGTTCGGGCCCACAGTGACGAGACATGCTGGGCCTCATAGGATAGGGGTGGAGCCAGCCCTTTTCTCCCTGTCCCAATGAGACCCCGAGTCGTTGCCCACGAATGTCCTCTGTGGCTCCTGATCAAACTGCTTAACGGCCATGATCCCAGAGACACAGAAACAAATTTTGAAACCCAGCGGCTTTTGGCAGAAATGCGTCCAGACCCTGCAGTAGGTTACTGTCACCAGGCCACTCCAAGGGGGGAAAGGGTGCTGTCCCTCCACCTTGGTGGCTCGGTGGCTGGCATCTGAGGCCATTGGACAGTCAGGTTTGGGCCCGCAGTGATAGACACGCAGGGCCTCACAGATGGGGGTGGAACTGGCCCTTTCCTCCCCATCCCGAGACCCCGGGTTGCCGTCCATGAATGGCCTGGCTCCTGATCAAGCTGCTTAACGGCCAGGATGCCAGAGACTCAGAAACAAATCTTGGAACCCAGCAGGTTTTGGCAGAAGTCCCTCAGAACTTTATTAAAATTTCAAAATCACGTGGCCACTACTGCAGCCACGTGACATCGTATGTTATTCTTAACCAGCAATAGAAAACAAATTGTCTACTATTGGCTTTTCAGCAGATTTGAGTGTTGGGGTAAAATCCCAAATAATAATGGTGGGTCTGGTGTGAAAATATTGAATGTAATCAAAGTAAAGAGAGAGTAATATGGAAATCCTCTGCCCCACAGGTAGGGGAAGGGTATGGAATAGGGGTATACTGGGGTTTTTGTGGTGGAGAATGGGTTTTAGTGAAGGTATGGGTGTTTCATTGTATGTCTGAGCCTTAAACTCGAAAGCTTTGCAACTGCTCTCATGGTGATTCAATAAATAAAATTATAAAAAAAATTAAAAAAAAAGAATTTGCTATAGTTCTAAATATTTACCATTAAATGGATATGCTTGAATATTGCAGTTCTACAATCAAGATTGTTTTTAGGGGCTAGAGCAAATAGCACAGCACATAGTGCGTTTGCCTTGCACGCGTCTGGCCCAAGTTCGATATCTAGCATCCCATATGGTCCCCTGAGCACTGCCAGGAATAATTTCTGAGTGGAGAGCCAGGAATAACCCCTGTACATTGCTGGGTGTGACCCAAAAAACAAACAAACAAAAAAAAAAAGATAGTTTTTAACAGTGCTATCACTTTTAAAATTATATTGCTTAAAAAATAATTGAGTGATTTATTCGTTATAGCTATTTTGAGATTCTTGTAAATCGGTATGTGTAATAATGGTATCACTGATGTCTTCATCTGTTTTTGTTCTAAAGAGTAGAGAAAGAACTGCTGAACAAATTATCAAGGCAGGAAAGGCAGTTTACTTTGTAAAGAGCATCATTTTAAGTTTGAGAAGCAAATAGTTAAAACAGATTGGGATTAGAATTCTTTGTTCATTTCTTCTGGGGATTTTTTTTTTTAAATGCTATTATCAAATTTCAGTCACAGTCCTCCCGTTGTTCATCGATTTGCTCGAGCAGGCCCAGTAACGTCTCCATTGTGAGACTTCTTGTTACTGTGTTTGGCATATTGAATACGTCATGGGGAGCTTGCCAGGCTTTGCCGTGCGGGCGAGATACTCTCGGTAGCTTGCTGGGCTCTCCGAGAGGGGCGGAGGAATCGAACTCGGGTCGGCCATGTTGGCTGCGTGCAAGGCAAACGCCCTACCGCTGTGCTATCGCTGGAATTCATGAAATAAAGATATTGGAAACTTCATTATAAAATTCCTTCAAGATTTACACTGCATAAAGCTTCAAATATTTTTAAAAGTTATTTTTATAGATTAACCATCTGAAACTTATGGAATGTGAACAATCCCATAAAATTAAGCATATTCGCTATTCTCATTATTCAAAGTAATTAAATATAAAGTTAGCAGTGGTAGCACTGTCCTCCCATTGTTCAATTTTTCTCGAGTGGGCACCAGTTACCTCTCCATTGTGAGACTTCTTGTTACAGTTTTTGGCATATCGAATATGTCATGGGGAGCTTGCCAGGCTTTGCATGTGGGTAGAATACTCTTGGTAACTTGACAGGCTCTCTGAGAGGGGCAGAGGACTCGAACCCAAGTGAGCCACATGCAAGGCAAACACCCTACCTGCTATGCTATTTCTCTGGTCCAAATATAAAGTTATCAGTATAAATTTAAGCTTGTATTTTCATCTATGAATTATGATTCAGTAAAACAAGAGAACAGTATTATTAACAAACTGCTCCCGAGGAATGGCAAACATTTCAGAGTGGCTGGAACAGGTGAGGTGATAGAAAGAAATGTTCTCAATAGTAGTATAAGAACTGGGGCTTTTTCTTCATTAAAAATTAGATTAGAATATAAAAGCAGTAGAACTGAAATTGTAAGACAAATTTCAGAGATATCCGACGAACAGGTGGAATTAAACAATTGACTGGCTGCTAAGTGAATAAAAGAAAGTCAAAGATGATGCTAAAATGGAGTTTGGGTAAGGATCATAAAGATTTGTGCATTTTAAATTAAAAGGCTCTTCATAATTACAGGTAAGTTTATCTAAAGGGAACTGGAAAGTACAACCAAGACATTTCATGTTATAAATTTTATTTTTCATGCTAAAATTTCTACAAATTTTATTCTGTCATACACAGTTCAAGGGTAATGGTTACAACTTTCTTTTTTAAAAAAAAACAGCATTTGGGGACATTTCCACTCACTTATTACAATCATAAGCATGTTTCACTATATAAACAGCAACAATAGTTACAATTACAGAACTGATGAACTCAGAAATTTAGTATGTTATGATGGAGATCACTATACAATATAAATGAAGTGCCCAAATACTGTCTCACAGACTTTATTACTTTTTTTCCCCCAAAACTAAGACTCAAGGGTCAGAATCTACCCATTTATACCATCATTCAAATAGCTGACCAAGTAGGTCAAGTCAGCAAGCATTTTAAATAATATTACAAAGCCTTATTTAACTTTGTATACAAGGAAAGATAAGCAAAATATACAAGGCATGGCTTGCTGATACTTTATGCCTTAAACAAAACATTACATAATGAAATTATGCATCTTTTGCAACTTGGCATTTAAAATATGAATAGTACTTACAGCACTTAGAATCACCCAACTACAGCTGATACAGTATCTCCCAGACTTCTAGTTTCTAAAATTCTGGGGGAAGTGGGACAATTTGAACTGTAACAGTCTACATGGTAGTAATAGTACCTCTTGGCCATTGGCCCAATACTAATCCTTTTTGTTTTTTTAGTATACAAAATATGCTGAAAACATTTCTCATAAACACATTTCAATTAATGTAATTACACAGAAGGCAACAATTTCCTTCTATAAGAGTAAGATTTTGCTACGAAAACTTTCCATATATCTGCTAATTTATGTAATATTTTGAGTCAATACAGACCAAAATGTATTTTCTAACTCAGAGACTGCGCTAATCATATGTAAGAACTACAAATGTAATCAGAATTTTTAAATGAAAATCATAATTTTTATCACTATATTAAAATTATAAATATTACTTGCTTTTATCCTAATTAAGAATAAATTTAAAAATCTGATATATTTATATTCTAAGCACAAAAAACACACAAATAGTTCTAATCAAAAATTCCAGATTACATGAATTTTTCTTTGAAATAAGTAAATATTGAGTGATTTTTCATATTGAAGTCCATTGCAAATATATTTTAATAAAAAATAACTTTGAAAAGAAATAATGCTGTTGTTTATTTACCCCACCTCCCATCTTTCCAAGCACATATTTTTTCTTTTAAAAGTTTGAAACAACATATCTAAAATCCGATTTTACAAAAAAAAGGGAAAAAAAATTACCCTTAGATTTGAGCCAAGTAGTTGCTTTTTCAGGTATTGCTGATTTAAAAATCATTATTATGAGTACATTTTGGCTTATAAACTACTAATTTCAAATTCAATTCATACTGCTTATTCAAGAAAACTGGCATGTATTTTGTAAATTTAAAATATTTCAAACGAAAAATTTCTAACAGCTCCTTATGGTTAGTTGAAAAAAAATCAGTAATACACATTTTTATACCAAATACCTATAATAATAATAAACTATGCTAGCAGTATTTTTGAAAATACTATCAAAACCTCAGTCTTATATTAATGGAACAAATTATTTTTATAAATGATACCATTTAAAGACTAGAAAGAAAATATGCCAACTGTTTTTACAATAATAAGTCAAAGAGATCTGGTTGGAATTTTGAATCTGCCACTTACAAGCTTATGTCTTAACTTCTCTAAAACTCGATTTCTTTAGGTCTGAAATAGGGAAAATAATAATAGACCTCTAAGGTTAACCTCTGAGGGTTCTTCTGAAGAATAAGATATTGATAGTAAGTTTAGTATGATATCTGACATAGTAAGTAACCAGTAGATATCAGCTACTAGCTATACTGAGCAGTGACTGACTGACTTGTGAGTCAAGTATTTATTTTCAAATTAAGACAATCATTATCATAAACAACTATTTAAAATGCAAAACAGGGTGGAAGAAAGCTAAGGTTATACCCAAACATCCTTTATTGCATCCATTATACTGCAAAAATGAGAACTGCTAAAATGTGGCTGAGAACCACAAAGGACTCATGGAAAAGTGGTTGAAGTCTCCTTAGTTGCCTTAATTGTCTTAGGGCATCATTTCCTATTTTAATATCATAGCTGTGTTATTTCCAAGTTACAACTCTGAAGATCTTAAATATACTTTCTTGCCATGGATTTTTACAAAAAATAATCACTTTACTGACCTGAAAAAACAATAAAGGCACAGAATACTGAGCATAAATAAAATCACAAGCATTTAAGTATGTGTACTCTAATAAAGATAGTCATCAACTTAAATTTATTTGGTATCAAATATTTTCAGTGTTCTTTAAAATCTCAAATACAATTTTCTCTATTGTTTATAAATAATCTACTCTGATATCACCTATATTTATTGAAATGATCAAGGATCCTAAATTTTAGAAGAAAAATTAAGCTATAGATTATGTTTACAAAAGTGTTTTTCAACCTTTTTCATATCTGAGAACTGGCACCAACCTACGTACCAGTTCATGGACCAGCAGTTAACCATCACGGTAAGATCAGTGATTTTCAATCTTTTTACCCCTTCAAACTGGAGCTCAAATACCACTGCTCTACAGTATTTTACATGTGTTCAATTCCCATTAAAAATATTTCAGTTACCGATTTAGTTTCCTATTCATCAGAGATTAATTTTTATTGTAACTATGTGAACTGGGTGAGCAATTTCTTTAACTTTCAATAATACTAAGACAATAGGAACTGCCAAACTTTTCCATGCATACAGTAAATGATAAGAGCAAATATGGGAGATAAAAACAAACAACACCAGAAAGTACTGCTCTGGTCCCAAAGGAACTATTTACTAATAAGTATGTGATCTTCAGCAAGTATTCAACTTCTCATGCGTCTCCTTACTCTTTGAAAGGTGAGGATGCTATCATCCTCTCTCACTCTAAGAACTACGAAAAATCATGAGAAAAACACCCAAGAAAACTATGAAAAGGACAGCGTGTTATATACAGTGTGTATATTAACACACAGAGGGCTTGTTATAGTACTGGATTTAGACAGAATAAACATTTTATTTAAGATGTAACTTGAGAGAAAGTTATTTTTGGAAGAGTCAAAGAAACTCTTACACATCTTCATCAATGTCCTCTAGGTAAGGTTTGAGTGCAGTTTTTTTAGATAAAGCATGGGTTCCAAATTTATTACCATGTAAAAATGGACTCAGGAAAAATTAGTCTTATTAATTCTTTCTTTAAAATTAGCAACAAATCTACTTTACCCTACCATGTTTTTAAAAAAATTTCTATTAATTTACAGCCTGCTTTATTCTAATCAGTTACTTGTCTAAAAGTAATCATATGGGATCAATTTATTTAATACTGGTATTTTGTTTTATATATTAGTTTATTTGCTGAAAAACTCCACTTAAAATACGTGTAATAGAGTCAAAAGAATGAAGAAAAATTTCAAAATTAAGTCACGGAAGGCAAGTATTCTCTCACTTACCCACCTCTTTAGCAATAATGACAAAATATATCCAACTCAAAATAGATTATATTACAAAGGGAAAACAAGATGGTTAACAATTTATGCTATATAATTTTCCAGGGTTGAAAGTATGTAAAAGAGAATAAATTAGGATTTTCCAATAAAGTATACTTGAAAGATGATTTTGAAGAAATTAATTTTGCAGTAAAGGGGGCATGAGGACAAGTAGAACATATCAAAATCATTTTTTAGCAATGTTTTTCAATGTTAGTCACTGAACTATCTCTAGGTTACTATGATATATGAAGAACTAGATATGTCACTGATTAGGTATATTAAAGAGGTTTGGAAGCCTTAATGTATGAGTGATTGTTGATAGCACAGGAGTAGAAACTTTGACAAGAATGGGTTCTACATCATCATTAAAAGATCAATCTGGAAAATATTTTATTTTACCTCAATAAATATCAGTATGAAAACTTAAGAAAAATTTAAAAGAGGATGATGGAAAAATGAGAATGATCTAAAAATACAAACAGAATCAATACACTAGTAGTTCAAGAAGAAAGAAACAGTTAAGAGACAGCAGTGGTGGGAAGGGGGGTGAAAACTGAAAGGCTGAGTCTGAGGAGAAAATATAACAAAGGGATGACTTTCATTTAATAGTAAGAATGGATGCGCCAAGAACAGATTAAAGGGAGACTAAGTAGTGAAAGAATGCATTATACTCACTTAAAATGCTCACTTGGAAAGAGAGCTCAATAGAAACCTGAGTATATTCAAAGGCAGTAGGACTTTAACAACTTGTTTTATAACTAAGAGTCAAACTGGTAAGTGGGTATTTTTCAGATTTAAATTAGGCACTTTGGGAAAGCAGGGTGGGGTGAGGACTTCATTTCTGTCACCAGGAAAGAGAAATAAATTAATCTCAAGTCACTTATACTTTTTTTTTTTTTTGGTATATCACAGTCAGATCCTATGCTCAGTAATAGATATTTTATAAGCATTTGGAACTTGGTAAGTGAGAAGGTAAAACAGTCTAAATAGAAAATGGTTTTGCAAACATAAAACAGCAAAGTTCATAACTTATTTTTGAAAAAAACCTTAAGTAAATTCCAAACCAAAAGTAGAAAACTTTAAAAATGTAACTGCTAGAGGCATGATATTTAGGTAATGTCAAAGTAAATAAAAGTTTAAAAACAGATAAAGGTTTTACTTGGATAAAACCAGTATAATATAACGACAAGATTTCTTGAATAATTTCTACCAAAAATAATTTATTACTCTAAAACATTCATAAAATTGATGAAGTGGGTAACTAATAATTGTATAAACTGTTTCTCACAATTCTTTAGTATGAAAACCAAGAATAAAAAGTGGAGCATCAAAATATATTTTTTCAAATCTAATTTATACCTGATTCATTAAGTAACTGGAACCATATTCACATTCTATAGGTTTCTGAATTTCATTCTTATTTAGTTAACTTTATAAGCAACTTAATTTTGAATCTAAACTACTTTATGTGCTATTTATTAAAGCCGTATAAAAGGCATGCAGTTTATTTACAGTATTGTACATTAAATGATCAAAGATTACAGAAAAATTTGATAAAATTATAACTAACGTGGAAAGACATATAATACATTATTCAGGTATTTTTAAAAAGTTTAGGTAAAGAAATTTGTGAAGATTATTTTGATTTACAAGTGTTAGGCAAGCACTGGCTTGAACTAAGACTGACAACATGTAAATGAACAGCATTTCAGTTAAGTGAAAAACAAAGTGTTTATTAGCTAAAAGCTAAAAACGCATGAAGTGAAAGCACTATCATGAAGTATTGGGAATTTATAAAACAGGGAAAAAAGGTTATCTTTTAACAGTCTTCCATAAAGACTTCTCAATTGTATTCTATAAAATCATTCAAAAATAAAGTTTCTCAAATTATGTTTACTAAAATGATGCTTTATGTAGTGACTGAACTTTATGTAGTGCAGTGAACTTGCAACAAATATGAGTTGTCTATAGGGAAAATTTCAGTTTTCCCCTCTGCGGACAAGAAGAACAACAATCTGCAAATTTAAATTCAAGTAAAAAATCCTGCTACAATTATCATAAACACAGAAAGGAGAGTTGCAATAACTGCAAACCACTTATTTTTAACTACACTCTTAACAGGAGTGTAAACTTTAGATTTGCTCAATTTAGTATCTCCTATTAGGAAGTACCTTATCCTTGAAAGTTCAGAAAATAGCAATGTTTTGTCTCTCATTAGATTTCTTTCAACTTTTACTGCTGTGGCTGAAGTACATTCAAATATTCAGCCTGTCCCAACTGGTAAGTTGTGTTCCTTCCACAATCAACATACTGGTATCTCTCCTGGGATATCTGTTCAGAGTGTCCAAAGTATGTTGTTGTCACAGTAACTCTACAAATAGAGCAATTGGTAGAAATATAATAGTTAAATATCAAAGTTACCTGTAGAGAGACTACCTTACTTTAATATATCAAAATTCTTTCCATGCGAGCCCTATGCAAATAGGTATACACAGCAAATGCAAATTTTCCCAAATACGTTAAACTATATGCACACTTATTACATAACCATAAAGTTCAAAATAACCAAAAAGTACCTCAAAATAACCATAAAGTACTCCAAATAGAAAAAAAAAAAAGTTCAGCAAAAGTCAGGTAATGGTTGAGATAGCAAATCTATCTACAAATCTAACTACAATATTTTATTAAAACAGATATCCAAATAACAAATAACATTACCTATCATTTCTGATAATGACTATTTACTATAAGCAGCCAAGGGTTTCTTTTCTTTATCCCAACCTGACCCATCTTCTGCTTTCTTGCCAGGTCTTCACTAATTTATAGCCACATACACACTTCTGACCTCCTATGCCTCAATAATAAATGTGGTAATATTTAATGACCTCATGGCACTCTGAAGTTCTCACATCATTAAGCTGGCTGCTGTAAAGCTGGTTTGTTATGCTGGAAGTCAATTTTACAAACGCAAAACTTTAACAAGAAAGTATCTTACAAAAGAATTCATACTTACTGCATCATAAGTACTATATTATGTACTTTGATGGACGGCAGCGTACAGAAATCACTATTAAGAAAAAATGTAAATAAGTACAAGTTTTAACATTACACATTAAGCGTTTAATTAACATTTCTTTCTCAAAGCTAGTAGAGACACTACTAAGGTGACATAATAAGCATTTACTGGTGAGCATTTTCTATAACTTTATAATTTCTATTCACATACAACTAAAAAAAATAAGCTTTTATACAAAAGCAGCTGCAATACATTACTTCTATATTTTGCTCATTAATGAAATTTTAGCAACCAGCTATTCAAACAATCCTAACTCAGGGACCAGGGAAAGAGCTCAACAGTCAGAGCTCAATAGTCAGGGACCAGTTCAGCTACATGAAGCCCCAGAGACTTCAAAGACTGCGAAAATGTCCCAGTGCTGATTGGTACCATAAGCTCTTGAGCAGCTTTGCATCCCTGGGCCCTAGTATGGAAGCACTTGGCCAAGAGTATTACCAGGAGTGGGCCCTGAGGTCCCAGAACACTGCTTGGGAGGCCCCTCCAACAACAACAAAAAAAATGGTCTGAACCGGGATTTAAAAAAAGAGAGATGGATGATGAACATTTATAACAATCTTTAAATTAACAAGTGATAATTATCCAGGCCCTATTGAAAGATTTAAAAACCTTGAACTTAAATATTAAACAAATGTTCTGTTATTACTAAGCTAATAAACAGAGTGAAAAAGTTATACATTATACTTTAATCTACTATACTAAAGGTTACTTTGTTTTCTAAAATTATGAAAAAATATTCTTTATATTTTTTAAGAAAATCATTAAAAATGAAAACTTACTACATATAACTCATTTCTTCTGCTATAATAGTAGGTACTGTGTAGTCAATCTGAAAGGCAAAAAAAGAAAATATATAAAATGAAAACATTAAGAATTTTAAAGACATTTCTTAACTTCCCATAATTCTGAAATCTCTCCTTGTACAAGATTAAGATATTTGCATACATAAACAAGATACATTTCAAAGTAAAATTTTTGAGAAATTCCTCTATCTCCTTTAAGTTAATATGATATATAGAGTTGAAAATTTAACTCCTGCATACTGTTTCCAGACTGAGACTTACTTGTTTCATATCCAATGGGCCGATATTGGTAATGTTGTTTAAGCGTGCTTTTCCAATCACTGTTTTAGAAAACTGAACTTGTGCAGTGATGTTTTCAACTTCAACAGAATAATAATTGTTATTTGTTATGTTTAACGTGTTCTGCAAAAGAAAGAGGTAGGAGAATGTGTAAGTCACATAAAAATGAGTCAACACAGATTTAAAATAGTTAAGAAAATGATTTTTAACACTAGCTATGCTTCAATTTTTAGAAGTACTACCAAAAATGTTAAAGAAATTAAATGAAGAATATTAGTTGGTTTATACATGCACAACTTGAATATAAATACCTTTAATGATTAGAAAATATACCCAGATAATGTGGGAATATGAAAAACTAACATTAGAAAATATAACTGTGGCTTTATGAAATTAAATAAAAATAATTTATAAATTGTATCTGAAATTAGATTAAATGTTAATCATGTCTTCATAAAAATTAGTATACCTTTACTTTACTAAATACAAGATAATTTAAAATATCAAGCCATTATGTCAAAGCGAAAGTATAAGTGGTCAAGATGAACAGACAGCTCAAAGATGAAAATGCAATCAGGAAAACTGATTGTCAGGCAAATGCAAGTTAAAGTGACAATGAGATATTACCTCATGCCAGCAAGAATAGTCTATATCAAAGGTCTGGAAACAGAAAGTGCTGACAAACAGGAAGTGCTGTCAGCAACGTGGTGATAAATGAACTCTCTGGTGGGACTATCCTGTCTCCCCTGCTCTTGAATCACTCTTTTCTAGGGGAAGTGAGGTGGGTTTTGGAGTCATACTTAGCAGTGCTCAGGGGCACCATGTGTTGCTAGGTATTAAACCCAGTCCTCATATATGCAAACATGTGCTCCAGCCCTTTGAGCCATCTCTCCAATCCTGTATTATTTTTCAGAAACAAAGGTGATGCTATAGAATTCCATTTAAGAAAATAACTACTATAGAACCTATGATCTCAGTTGTTGTCATCTATCAAACCAATATTCATTTATTTAATAACTCTTTCTATTTAATGTCAGTCTTTCTCAACTATATACTACAATCCCCAAGTATATAACAATTATCTGAAAAAAAAAAAGATAATAGCATTTACATTAACTTTCTGGTAAACTTTCAAGGAAATTTCTCATGGCTTTCATCATTTTGAATTCTAAATTTATGGCATTTTATACTAAAACAGGCTCTGGAGATTGGCCAAAAGAGTCTGACAGTCTTAAACACTGCACAAAGAGAGAGTTCCTGTCAAGAGTCAGAGCTGGCATTGGGACAGCAGGTCTCAGTGCTCTGAACAGCAGATGGGTTCACAGAATTTCTGCATGAGTGAATGTGGATACCTTGGATACTGTCTCAAGAAGAGTGCCATTAAACAACTAGCCAGTTGTTCGCCACAGAGCACTGCAGCAGAGTGAGACTCGTGAGTATGGTGGCGATGTGGCCATGAATGGGTGGAGATACTACAGCTCTCAGCCTCTCAACGCTATGGCAGCAGCAGAGTTTTAAATGAACTGAATAGGGCTTTTTGGGTCCAACTCGGTGCCACCAAGGAGCGTGGGTCCTGGAGTTGGAGGGTGTCCTGAGTTTCCACCATGGGGTCAAGGCAGGGCAGACCCACTGCTATTTCTTCTCTCGACCAGTCTGCGCTGCCAGCAGCATATAGTGGAGGAAGACCTCCCTGAGTGCCAACTGTCTGGACTCCCAAGAATGTGTGCTCCCTGGTCAGGTTCTGCTGGACTGGTGGCTGCAGCCTGCCTGGAGTCCCCAAGCAATGAATGGTAGCAGGTCCTTACTGGGGCTATTGATGCCATCATCACTGGGGCCAGGGGGCATGGCACCACCAGTGGGTCAACCTGATCCCCTTGGGTGAGTGCCTAGATAACCAGATGGTAACCTTGGGCTTCCTGACACTCCCAAATCGCTGCTATGTCACTGACTTGGCTACAACAACTCAGGACCAAGTTTTCCTAGAAACTAAACTACCAAAAGAGAGGTATGTGGGAGCCACAACCACAAACCACCTCTGTCTTAGCCATATAATCTCATTTATTGGCCTTGCTTTAGAGTCTCATAAATAAATCTTGAAGGAGATCAAAAGCCAGTTAATCTAGGATCCGCACAAGGCTAAACAATCTGGGCCACATCAGAAGGGTGTGGGTTAGCTGAGTGCCCTCCCAGGCCCCTAGTAGCTGCTTGCTCCCACAATCCAAAATCGCCACCATGCCCTGGCTGGCCTCCATCATCTTGGGACAGACTTCATGGAGAAACTAACCTCCTGAAAATTCAGGCCTGTGGGATTTTTGACTGAAACCTCCAGGCTTTCTTGTAGTTGAGATGGGTTATCTTGCCCCATTTCCCTATACTCCTGGAAGCTTCAGGTTTCACCCCCATGAACAAACTCCAGTGCCACCATGGAAGCTCTTCTACCAACCCTGCTTCAGAGACCAATACATAAATCTCAAGAGATCAAAAGCAACAGTTAATCTTGAATTCTCCCAAGGCTGAACAACCCAGGGGGCATGGATGGAGGGTGACATACCCCAGTTTCCTGCTCAAAGTCCCCCCACAGCCACATGATCCCACAATCCAAAATCGCCACCATGTCCCTCAGCAGTAATCCACTGTCTTGGGATGGACCTCACTGTGGTATTAATCTGCTGAAAATTCGGGTATGCAGGTTTTGTGACTGAAATCTCTTGGCTTTTTCAAGGTCAGGAGGGGTTGCCAACTCCTACCTCCCTGTACTTCCAAAGCCTTAGCAGTCACATTCACAACCAAAGCCATCGCCCAGTTAAAAATAGCTACTCTAGCTGTTCCTTTCTGACAAAAATACTGAGTGCCTTGAGCTAAAACAATGACCTCTTAGTATGTATTGCAAACCATAATGCACAAACAGGAGAGAGTGTGTCAAAGCAGAAAGGTAGTTGTCACAGAGGCATGCAGGGTGGGGAGGGGACTTGGGGGTTATAAGAAGAAAACTGGAGACATTGCTGGTAGGAAATGTACACTGGTAAAGGGATGCTGGAACCTTGTATGACTGAAACCCAATCATGAACAGCTTTGTCTATCCCACAGTGATTCAATTAAAAACAAACCAAAAAAAAAGAAAATGAAACATTGCACAAAAATATAGAAGGACATTCCTTGTTCTAAATGGTTGATAAAAACCCTGTAATGATTAGTCAGTCATGTGAAATGACTTACAATGAGTAACGTGTTATGACAATTCTATGTACATATATATGCCTCCATAGTTAGTTTTGTTAATGAGGTTGACAAATTTTGAAAGTAATCTGTAGCCATAACAACTGTTATGGTCAGTCAACATATTACTTTGGTTTGCAAATTATGCTTTTTCAATAAATGTCCAGGCTGGAACAATAGCACAGCGGTAGGGCGTTTGCCTTGCACGCAGCCAACATGGCTGACCCGAGTTCCATTCCTCCGCCCCTCTCGGAGAGCCCGGCAAGCTATCGAGAGTATCTCGCCTGCACGGCAGAGCCTGGCAAGCTCCCCGTGACGTATTCGATATGCCAAACACAGTAACAACAAAGTCTCCAATGGAGACGTTACTGGGCCCGCTCGAGCAAATCGACGAACAACGGGAGGGCCTTTACCTTTACCTTTTACCAATACATGTCCATATGTAATATTAGTAAAAGACATCTAAGGCTTTCAGTTTTTTGCTTTTTGCAGTGGAAAAACTATAAAGTCCTAAAAATTACTATTCTGGGAATTGAATAATTGAACTGAATTCAACTGAATAATTGAATTGTCCAATTACACAAGGCAGCATACAAATTTTAAGAGAAATCAGTTAACTAGTACATTATCTCTAACCCTCCATCAAAAAAGGTGTTAAAGATGACAAAACTGCATTTTCATAAAATATAAGAAAATAAAATGTTTTATTTCCATTATCTACCAAATCAAGCATATTTATACATAAGAACCATTCAAAATCTAATATTCAGAAAGCAAGTAAATCATAAATACTTTTTTCCACCAGCAAAAGTTATTATAGTATCTTAAAGGCATCTTAAAATGCTAAATTATTCTGTCTATACAACTGTCAACAGCTGTTATTTGCCACTTTCAGCAGACACAGACATGGTAGAAAATATCAATGCAGGCAAAGACATAGAAAACAACCTGCCCGTATCACAAACCTTGCTACTTAACATGATAAGCCAAGTATTTTAAATAAATATTTGTACTTACTGTAATATTTAAATATATCACACGCTTCTGGTCATCGTAACTGACAAATGCTGATTTTACACCAATATATTTCACGTCGATAGTGCGGGGGAAAAGGAAAAACACAGCCAATCCAGAAAGAAGCAGACAGACAAACACAGAAGCCATCACATACAGCTTTCTGTAAAGGAAAATACAGTATTTAAATACACGTGTGTCAAAAATTACAGTATAAACCATTTTAAAAATATCACTTCCCACCTGAACTTCTCTTGCAGCAGCAGGAAAGAATATATTATTTTACCTATATTTAAAATTATAAAAGCACTGAGTATATTTAGGTTTATAACCAGTTAACTGTTAACAATTTAAAGATGATAAATTTTTTTGCTGAGATTGGGATTTTGAGATTATTACAGGTAGAACACTCCTGAATTATTCTCAAAGCAGACTCCAAATCAGAATGAAGCTGGGAAGCCTTATACAAATATAGATTTTGAAAGTTGGAAGAAAGTTTCATAAGAATATACTACAGATTTCAAGACTTCCTTCTGGACTGACTAAAGAGTATGGCATGTGAATTTTGCCCTTACAGGATTTCCCAAAGTAAGCTCAGAACATGTAACATTCTTTCAAAGAACATGACACAGGCCTCATCACTCTCACTAAGACAGTTCCGAGTCTCCTAGTAAAAGACTTTTTATTATATAGTCCCTATTTTAAAGTATTAACTCTGCTTTCAAGATTGTTAAACTATTTGTTTAAAACCAAACAAAGAGTTAGTACAGATATAAGACAAGGAAAAAAAAGTTTCCACGTAGTTTTTATTTTAACTCCTCTGGAATATATTTCTTCTATCTCTTAATTTTCATTTCCAATCTCACAGATAGAAATTTCATTGTATTCTGAAGGTCACTATCTTATTCTTAAGAATTTCCAGATAGTATGTCCTTATTTCTCCAATAAATAGTTCCCTATTTAAAGCATCAGCAGTTTTTGTTTTCCTGAGTCTTGTTACTTAATCTTTCCCTTATAGTCTAGATATAAAACAACAACAACAACAACAACAAATAAAACACTCATTTTATTTTCTCCCCGACTGTTTGCTAAATCTAAATACCTTTAATAGATGCTCAGGGGTTACTCCTGGCTCTTCACTCAGAAATTACAGCTAGCGGTGCTCAGGAAACCATATGAAATACGAGGGATTGAAAACAGGTTGGCTGAATGCAAGGCAAATGCCCTACCAGCTGTACTATCGGTTCAGCTCCCTCCCTTGCTAGATAAAATCTTTTATACTGCACAACAGCTATTTCAAGTGCTTCTTATTTATAATCAGATGTTTTATAATCATTTCTATATTCTGTGGTATTCTTTTGGTTGTGTACATATCAAAAGACACCCTGACGTCAGAGTCAAGGCTTACTCCTGGCTCTGTAATTAGGGATCACTACTGTCAGGGCTCTGGGGAACATACAAAGTCATGGGATCAAATCCAGGTTGCCACATCCAACCAAGTGCCCTACTTGCTATATTGTTTCCCTACCCACAACTTCTATGTATTTTAAAGCTAAATTTGAAAAAGAACCAAGAGATTACAAAAAATAAAACAGAAATTTGCTAAGTCAACATTGGGCTTTTTCTGTTATCCTGAGGGGGGCAAAAAAAAGTAGTTTCTACTCATCATACTCGACTTTTCCCCAATCTAATGTCACTATATTAACCACTGACTAGTTTAGGAACATTTTAATTGCTCGAGCAGGTCCAGTAATGTCTCCATTGGAGACTTTATTGTTACTGTGTCTGGCATATTGAATACTCTCAGTAGCTTGCCGGGCTCTCCGAGAGGGGCGGAGGAATCGAATTCGGGTCGGCCATGTTGGCTGCGTGCAAGGCAGACACCCTACCCGCTGTGCTATTAATTTATTATATAACAGAGACCTAAAGAAGGAACTAGAAAGAGTTCAACAATCCTTTTTAAAACTTTGAACTTTTTTGTTGAACTTTCTTATACTTTGGATTTATTTTTAAAATCCACTAAGTGCTGATTGTTCCACAACCTATTTAGACCTTAAGTGCTTAGGACCTAAGTCAGTTCTAGTAATATAGGAATCAGGTGTTTTAAATAACTGTCACCACAACTTTACTGTTGAAACTGACAGACCCATAAAAGAACATTCTCTGTGTTATTTTATATCAAACTGAAAAAAATAGCTATTGATCAGACAAAGTATATAATAGATCTCCATTACAAAATTCTTTAATTCTTTAGTAATAATTTTTCTATGGACAATAACTTAATCCTGGAAAAGTAGAGTACTGAAGAAGTCAAAAGGTTCATTTGCTTTTTTAAAAAAATTTTTTTAATTGAATCAGCATGAAATTCAAGTGTTTTTTTTTTCCTTTTTCTTTTTCTTTTTTTTTTTTCTTTTTGGGTCACACCCAGTGAAGCACAAAGCAAATGCCCTACCGGCTGTGCTATCGCTCCAGTCCCTCAAGCACTGTTTTTTTTCTTTTTGGGTCACACCCAGCGATGCACAGGGTTCCTTCTGGCTCTGCACTCAGGAATCACCCCTGGCAGAGCTCAGGGGACCATATGGGATGCTGGGAATTGAACCTGGGTTGGCCACGTGCAAGGCAAACGCCCTACCCGCTGTGCTATTGCCCCCAGCCCCTCAAGCACTTTTTTAAATTCAAGTTATAATTCTCATTTCTGCCATTTCGCATCTGTCATACCTAGACAGTATTTTTCCCTCCACTTTAAAATCGATAGACTGTTTTTTGAGTATTGTGACATAGCCAATGAATATACATCAGTAATTTCCTACCTCACTGTAAGTCTCCCAACTTATAAGAACTCAAGTCGCTGAAAATATTATATTTTTTCTTAAATTTAAAGTAACTGCTTTACATTAGATACGTATAATGCCTACTAAAAATTTTTGAAGTGCTTCCTCTAGTTCTCAGATCTAGGGCATGATGTTGCTTGGGTCCTGGGTGGCAGGAATTATTTGGGCCAGTCCCAGAGGAGCATACAGGAATGACCTTTACCTTCCTAATATCTCTGTGGCTATTGCATTTATTTTAGTTAGTCTCAGAAGGTTCAAATACTATTTAACCTTCAAGACCTTACTGTAAGCAGAAATCTTTTTTTTTTAATGATACAAGGTATAACTTTACAACTTGGTAACATTTTTTCTAGTATTATACATAATGTGAAAGGCAAAAAAAAATTTACTCCAAAACTTGACATTTTCTTATAATCACTTACGTTCTTCTTGGCCTCAATCTCTGATCACTATATGGAATCAATGCCACCAGTTGGTTTTCTTGTCCTAAAAGTAAAGGAAGTTTAGAAGTTTATTACAAACAAAACAAACACTATCCTCCCGTTGTTCATCAATTTGCTTGAGCAGGCCCAATAACGTCTCTATTTAGAGACTTGTTGTTACTGTGTTTGGCATATTGGCAGGCTGTGCCATGCGGATACTCTCGGTAGCTTGCCAGTCTCCGAGAGGGGCGGAGGAATCGAATCCGGCTCGGCCGGGCTGGCTGCATGCAAGGCAAATGCCCTACAGCTGTGCAATGACTCTGTATCAGTGTGGCAGGCATGTTGCCCCCTAATGATTTTTGAAAGTAATGAATTCAAGGTACGACCTAAAGAACGTATGTTACTCTACTACCACCCTTTTGCAAGCCCCAAAGCATGAAGGTTGGATCCTCTTTGGAGATGCAGGAATTTTGGTATGATCAGACACTAAACGATATCAGCAAGGCCAACCTAGAGAAGGCTGGGTCCATTTTGGAGAGGGAAAACTTCAATAGGAACAAAAGGCACATGCTAAATTTCATACTTCAAAAATGAGCCTTTCAGGATTCTTTCAGGTCACATGCATCACACATTAAGTCAATTCAAAATCCATCATTTTTTTTTTACATTGAGCTACATCCATGCTTTAATGGACCTTCAAATGCAAATGTTCGAAATACAATAATCAGATTGTTTAAAATTTTTGATAATGTTTCCATTATTCCTTCCTGATTTCTTCACAGCACTCTCTATATAATTATACTTCCTCTGTATTTCACCAACATATATTTAACCCTCAATATACACAACAAAAAACTGGAATGAATTTTTACACTTCTAAAACTTAACAGCCCACTGCTATTCAGAAATGCTGATAACATAAAGTTGATTAGCATTATTTTTATGTCACACATATTAAAGAATGCATTTCTATATTAAAGCAAGCTGGAGAGAAGAAAATGTTACTAACAAAATTTTAAGAAGGTTGGAAAAGGTGCAAAGTGTTGAGTACATGTGTTGCACGCTGTACTCATTTGGGGGGCCCCAAAATGTCATCGCTGGCACCAAATTAATTCCCAAGCATGATCAGGTGTAGCACATTCCCCTAAAATAAAATCCTAAGAGGAAATGCACCTGCAACACTAAACAGTGTTTACTGACACTATAAATTTACATCTCTTTATAAGAAAATCTACGTAAGTAGATGCTTTCAGCTCAAACCAATATTATTTAAGGGTCAACTGTAGTAGCTCAAATGCAATGAAAATTTATTATCGCCTATATCAACACTTCAAAAAATTACCAGAAAGGGTGGGACAACAGATTTCTTTTCACACAGCCATAGTGTATCTCCACCATAGGCCTTACTTCCATCACAAGCGCCATATCACTGCATATGTATCCATGTGTACGTGCTAAATTACATCTGGCAAAACTACACCTTGGTCAAAAATAACCCATTTATCTGTGGAATAAAATGTTGGGCAGAAGCAAACTTGCATAAAATTTTTCTTCTTAAGGTGGCCAGAGTGTTATTACAGTGGGTAGGGCCTTGCACTCGGTTGACGTGGATTTAATCCCCAGCATGCCCTATGGTCCCCCAAGCTCACACAGGAGGGATCCCTCAGTCCCTGAGTACAGAGCCAGGAGTAAGCCCTGAGCAAGTCAGGATGTGGCCCAAAACAAACCATTTTTTTTCCTTCTTAGGAAAAGAACCCCCTTTGAGTATGGGATATAGAGATAATTCTCTCCCAACTAACAATTCTAGTCCCTTGTAGAAACCATTCTGCTATTCCAGAATGAGTATTATCAGCTGGGCCCTAGGCCACATACTCTTCTAAAAAGTCTTATGTATGTCAAGTTCTTATCTCAAGGACTGAATTTTACTCACACCTAGAATATTTCCTGGCTCAGATTTCCTAAGCGTAAAGCAATCTTTGTTCAGCCAGGATGTTGGGAATTACTAGGAACCCTGCCAAAAGCAAATGCTTTGTCTCTTTATAACATTTCAAATGTAAATTTCTCCTCCACTGAAGATACTATACATGTCAAAATTACATAAGCTCTGAAGTCTATAAAAATGACATTGGAGCTATACAATATGCATCTGACTTCATTAGCCTTAAAACTGAGATAAAATTAATCTCTCCCTTTTATCCAAATACAGAAATGGTTTCTGTTAAGTTGTATTATGTCTATATGCACAAAACAAAACATGGAAAGAGGAAAAACATTATATAACCAAGTTTACTGGTCTTAGTAATGTTTAGATCATTAATCACAACGGACCTTAATAATGCCAATAATCACAATGCATTTCCTCAGTTCACCCTCTCAATAGAGATGTTACTGGGCCCACTCGAACAAATCGATGAACAATGGGAGGACAGTGACAGTGACCCTCTCAATATGATTTGTTAGACCATAATTATATTTTGTGCCAAAAAGAAGAGAACTTCCAAAAGCTCTCATTACCTCCTACTACCTACCTATTACCTACTAGGACCATCTTCTCTCACATAGGGCAGGCACTGGTTCTGTTACATAAACTAGGGGAATTTACCAACACGCCAGGAATCTCTAAACATGGGATGAGTTTATAAAAAAAAGATAGATATACCATCCTGTAAGCTAGTAACCTGCAAGCTAAGCAGACTATTCCAGGGACCAAGGTTACTGTTTTAATTCTCTTATATGTATTTCCCTGGAAGCCTAATCCTTATTCCAAGAACTCAGTTTTTACCTCCCACCCCCTTTTTTTACCCTTTAATAGAAAACTCAGTACTGTTATGGTAAATTCTACTATATAACTTAACTTCTGCTATACATCATGCTTTGCAGGTGCATGAAGTGAATTTTTGTTAAGTCACTTAAAATAGAACCAGGAAAACATTACATAAAAGTTCTATTAACAACTTTGTGTCAACTAGGCTAGAGTGCTCTGGACTAGGTCAAAAAGCAACTGAAAAAAGAAACTAAAATCACACCACTGCTTTAAAAGTTACCCAGTTCTGGAGAAATGCTTAAGAATTTTTAGGACAATGGGTTTCTTTTAATCCAAACAAATTTCTTAATAATTCAATCATATGCCCTGACTAATCCCTTACTCATGAATATTTTAGGTTTTCTACCAGAATCTGTGTACCTATCCTGAATAATTCTTTTATTACAAATAAACAAGTTCATTTGTAAGGCATGCTTGCCTTTTAAAAGGTCTCCTAAATTTTCATCTATTCTTTTAAAGTTCTCCAGTGGTTGCTACATCACAAAATCCAATTATCAAACTACTTGATCTGTAAATAACATCTAACACAGTTGGTCACTCTCTGCTCCTTGTACTACTGTAAGGAAAAATAATTCCCCCATCTTTCTAAACTCTTGGTGAAACAACCTCCTATAATAGATCATAGGTAGAGCCATATATTAGTAGGAGGAAAAAAGTATTTCTCAGGTATACATGGGAGAGACTCAAGAAATTCTAGCAGCTTGTCAAAATAACCTATGCGATCTTCTTAAATAACATTTTCAGCTATGAAAAATATATATATTATAAATGTTTGGGGAAAAATACACTTATAGGATGCTATCAGGAAATGCAGATTATACAAGAGTATGGTTTTTATATAGATTTAAATACCCCTGCTAAAATCTTATTACATCACTTTTTCTTTAGAGTCTTAACAGGAATACTTTCTTAAAATATATCAATTAAAACTATTAGGTGATACACTTCCTTAAAATATATCAATTTTAAGCAAGCAGAAAATGAGAACAGTACAGTATATTCTTTATATAGTTTTTTAAATAATTAGAATATACTATTATCATTGCTCTTTTAGATTATGGAACAGTGCCCAAATAAGAAAAAAGTAACTGTATTTTTGTTCATCTTGAAAATATCTACCTCTGTTCTGCCCTGGCCTGAATATGCTAACATCAACAATGGTTTGGATATGAAGATTACCTGTTGACTTAGAACCTGGCAAGAAACAAGGCGACAACAAAAGAATTCCATAGTCTAAGACTGTCCTTGTCTGCTTAAAAACTACCATAAAAAGCAGTCTGACTGAGCCCTCAAATCTAGAGATATTTTAAAGGTAAGAAATTGAAATAACCTCCAGTTGTTACTTCTCTTCAAAAAGCTCTAATTTTCAAACTTGTTCTGTAAGATTAAGATATTGCTTTGATGTTATGAGCAATGTTTGTCCTTTATTAATCAATTCACTTTGAAACCAACTTCTTCTCACCAACTATAAATGATGGAAATTGAATAAATGATTTCTTTGCTAAAGAACAATGGTTTTTGTGTGTGAAACTTACCAAAATTGAGGCGAAATCTGATGTTTATTTCCTAGTCGTAGGTACCTCTACATAATCTTATTATAGGCTCTGCATAATCTCATTATAATTTCCTCTTTTACTACATTTTTAATTTACTTTACAGAAATATTTTATTAACTAACAAGATAATGAATTAAAACTATTAGGTGATCTACTTCCTTAAATAGCTCCGAAAGTCCCAAGATATCAAAGTAACAATGACCTAAATTGATGCCAAATAGAACTAAACATCAGTCAGGAAAATGCTCACATCCATGTGTTATCATCATGGCCGATAGGAAAAAAAGACTCTGAAAGTGAAAGTTCTTAGCATTTTATCATTAGAAAACTTAATACTTTTTGTTTAGGGGGCAAATGAGACAGTTACAGGGAATAAACACAGAACTACAGCTGGCAGTCCCCACATGGTTTCTCCAGCCTAGCTGTGTGCAATGCTAGAGGTTCTGCATAACTGCTAAGTTGGGCCCTATCCCTGAAGGTTCCCGAACTCTGCAGGTAACATGGGTGATCCCAGGCACCGGCAGACTCTGGCAATAAACCACAGGCCAAGCTGGCTAAGAATCACCTACAGAGGCCCTAAAGGCCTCCTGAGCACCTTTTGGGAGTCCCCACTTAAGATTTTCTGGGTGGCAGGGGGGCATACCTAGCAGTCTTAGTTCTGGCTCTACACTCAGAGATCACTCCTGACAGGGCTACAGGGATCAAGGGTGATCATAAAGGGTGCCAGAGATCTAAACCAGGTTGGTCACATGCAAGGCTAATGCTCTATCTGCTGTGTTATCACTCTAGCCCTCATGATCTTTCTTAAAGAAAAACAATGCAATGTAACACATACCCCTTGGAATTCTTCCGGTTCCTTGGCAAGTGGGACAAGTGACACTATCTCTTCCTGTAAATTCCACATAAGGAAACTGAGAGACATCTCCGCTTCTTCCATCTTCATTATGAACTTCATTACTGATCAATCCATTCCTCATATTTTCGGTTGATGTGAGTCCATCATAGGCATCTTCTTTATTTGAATGCAAAGGCAAATGAGAAAAAGACTTACCCATGTCTAAAGAAAAAGAAAGAGCTTACAATAAATTTCAGGAAATAAATGCATACAGGAAGATTATAGGTTATTTGTACGTATTAAATCAAATTTCATGAAGTATTCAAACTATATATTGGGTTATAATTGTAGTAAATCAAAAGAATGCCTGAAACAGGAAGTGACTTACTTGAGTCCAAAAAAAGTTTGTTACAAAATAGAATGAAGTGATGTTACAGATTAGTGTTAGAATGAGCTTCCAAAAAATACTAAAATTTGACAACAGCCTATACTTTGTTAGGACTGTTTGAAAAGAAACAGGAAGCTTTATATTCACTTCTTAGAATATAGCAAAAATACTTTCTACTTTTAAGCCCATTAGCACTGAATACAAAGTTGTTTAAAGTAGATTTTAGTTAGGTATTACAAGATAGTTAAATGCAGCAGTTTTCAGCTCTTTAAAATTCATGCCTCTAGTGCCAGGAAATAGTACTGGGGTTAAGGTACATGCCTTGCATGCAACAGACCCAGTTCCGGTGTTAACCCTACAATCCTCTCACACTTGGAAGAAAACGTTTGTAATAAAATCCACAAACGTTTTCACCTTCACATTTTGACCTTTAACCATTTAACCATGCATGTGTGTGGGTGGGGAGGGTGGAATTTTAAATTATTTCTTTTCTAAATTTGACCTTGGTGTTTAAGTTCCTGGTACAGATAGCTATACAAAAACGAAAGAATAATTCTTGCTCGAGCTCCAGCGGGCCCAGTAACGTCTCCATTGGAGACTTTGTTGTTACTGTGTCTGGCATATCGAATACATCACGGGGAGCTTGCCAGGCTCTGCCGTGTGGGCGAGATACTCTCGGTAGCTTGCCGGGCTCGCTGAGAAGGGCGGAGGAATCAAACTCCGGTTGGCCATGTTGGCTGCGTGCAAGGCAAACGCCCTACCGCTGTGCTATTCTTAAGAAAAGTATTATTGCTTTGAAGAAGGAAAACTGGTATTCAGAATAATCCAACTTGATCGAGACTATAAACAAATTTGTTTTCTAAAACGGGCAAGCCAACTATATAGTGAAGTTATTCGTAAACAAGATTTAAAAAAAAACAGTAGACAAAATTGCAGCATTAGGAACATATGTATCTTCACTATTCAAACTATGGGGCCCGAGTGACAGTAAGGCACTTGCCTTGCATGAAGCAGACCCTGTTTCAACCTAGGTCCCCAAGCACCACCAGGAATGACACTGATTACTGAGCCAAGAGTAAGTCCTGAGTACCACCCAGTGTTGCTTCAAAATCAATAAAGACAAATTAAGTAATTTAATGAAATAAAAATATGTGCATATATAGCCGCATTAGTTACAAAAACACACGATTTATGGCTTTTAAAAATACAGTACTATTTCTTGATTTGGCTCAGTGAGATTAAATATCGTTAAACCAATAACTTGGCAGCCACAGGTGGTCAGTGATTAACTAACCACCGTCCCCACACAGTGACCTTGGACCTCGTCTGGAGTCCTAGATGAGCCGGGATTCTGGACCTCGGCTCCCTTTTCTGAAATCTCAGCTGACAGTACATTCCAGTGGAATGCGGTAGGGCAGAGGAACACCGGACAGTACCACCAAGTGTCTGGGACTGGACCTGTTCTATTACTTTGGAGTTGGCCTCTGGGTCAGATGACTTGTCAGAAGCTACTGGACAAGCGCAGACACGACGGGTCGGCTCCTGGGCAGCCCCGGCCCTCCTTCAGCAATTTCCCAGGAGCCCTGCTAAATGGAACCACTCTTAGTGCCGGCAACTCGGTGTTTACAAAAAGCCATGCCCGGCCTCCTCCTCTTCCCGGCAACTCTGCCAGGGTCCAATCTCCGAAGCGACTGGAAATTCGCGAGGATCGCAGCCACAACGCCGAGCCCAGGGCGGTGGTGGAGAAACGTCCAGGAGGAGCCCGAGTGTCCACTGCTCAATGGACTGAGATTGCCCGGGAGACCTTACAAAGTCAGCCCCTCTTACAAGCTCCAGAAACGCAAGCCCAGCACGCGCGGGCCATTCTGGGGGAGTTGAAGAATAAGAATCAGACCACCCGGCAAAGAAAACTCAAAAAGCTGCAAAAACCCGGGGCCGGCTGACCCCCGGGAGGTGCGGGCGCTTAAAGTGAGCGCTCCCCCTCCCCCCGCCCCGGTAGAAGGCCAGGCCTTAGGTATAAAGGCGCTGACAGCTTCTCAGTCACCCGGGCTGGACGCCGCTTCCCACGCCAGGCCGGCTCGGCATCCCTGCAGCCTCCCCTCCTCCACCTCCACGTCCGGCTCAGCCCTTTCTGGGGCGCCGCCAGTCTCCCCCCCAACCCCACCCCGAACTCGGAGGAGAGCCTTGGCAGGGTCGCGTCTCCAAGGGTCGCTCACCGACAGGCGGGGCCCGGCGCTGTCCCGGGCAGCTCCGGTACAGGGAGGGTCACGAAAGCCGCAGTCCCGAGAGCCGGGTGCTGGTACGACTCGGCCCGCAGCGCCCGGATGCCGCGGGGTTGGGGCGGGGGTGGGTGGAGGAAGGGCCGCAGCGACCGCCGCGGTAAAGGCCCCCGATGCTGCAATCCGCGCGCGCCTGCGCACCGCGCTCCCGGGCAGGGGGCGTGGCCTCGGGGCGCCTTACCGCGCACGCGCGCTCTCGCCACCTTCCGGGGCTCCAGCCCGGCTACGCCCTCGGTTTTTGCTTTCTTTGGTGTCTCGGGGTTTGAGAGACAAAATAACTGCTTTCCCCTGACCCGGGACGATTCTAAATCTCATAGTTTTGCCTCTGTTTTTTTCTCACCAGCGGTTCCCTAGAGGAAAGTCATCTACCGTCTTCCTCAGCCCTCCACTGAGCAGCCGTCTGCTCGACACTCAGGGTGTGGGGAGAGGAATGAAGTGCATGGTAGACCACGCGACTGGCCGCGGAAAAGTCTTTCCGACTAATGTAGAACCTCCCGCCCTCTAGAAGAAAATTGTAAGCTGACCGGAGGCCGGTTTTTATTTGTTTTGTTTTTGTTTTTGCACGTGGTCGGTCCCCTCCCTCCGCCCAGCTCGCTGGTTGGCTGAGGTAAATGTGAGATTTCTCTGCTCCAATGGCGGGACTCCTGCGCCTCACTGTGACAGGGGACCGCCCTCAGCCTCGCCCAGGCGAGCGTGACTCTGAGGAAAACCAGCCGTCTGAAGGAATAGGTGCACTGTTCGGTGGGGGAAGATCACGTACTGAGCTTACAATGTTTATAGTAAGTGGTAGCGACTGTTTAAGTCACGGTCACAACACACATTTCTAATGGTAGACGTGGTCGTATTTTATTTCTGTGTCTTGACATGTTGTGTGTTTGGCCAACTACAGGTCAAAACAATATGCATTGTCATATTTTAAATAATTATATGCCCTCGTGAAGTAATAAACCTTCAAGTATAGTGTTGACAGAGCTGTTTTCAACTTGAAGAGGTCAACTGGGACAAGCTCAAAATGATAAAAAAGTAAAATGTATTTAGGAACAGCAGAGGAATTGCAGTGTATAGTACTGTCATAGTGTAGTAAATTACTGCCTTAGTAAATTACAAGGGTGTTAGGGGGTAATCCAAACAGTGAAAGAGGAAGATTCTAGTTAACTTTGCTAATATAATAATATAAAGTGACTTTGCTAAAATAATAATCTTTGATAAGATCCTATCGCTTAAGAGAATTCCAAGACTCAGAGACTATAAAATCCAGATCCCGGACGAGAGCAGTGCAGTCTCTGCCCCCGCGCTTCGGTGTTCCTTCCCGGAGTCCCTTGGAGGGGAGCGGGTTGAGCTTTCCTCCCCGCCCCGGCCAGGGCTACGGCAGCTGGAGACCTCCAGGACCAGCCACCACCATGCTGAGACCACTCTCCGCACACCTGAAGGTACTGACAGAGGGACAAAGCCACGCGGGTTCCGGGGCCGAGACCTCCAAGCCTACTCGAATTGGAGTCGAGCATCTTCCACCCAGATCCTCCAAATTCCAGTAGGCGGGGGTCACACCCACCACCTGGCCCCCTGGCGCCGTGTAATCCCATCAGCGGCCAAGACTCAGAGACTATAAAATCCAGATCCCGGACGAGAGCAGTGCAGTCTCTGCCCCCGCGCTTCGGTGTTCCTTCCCGGAGTCCCTTGGAGGGGAGCGGGTTGAGCTTTCCTCCCCGCCCCGGCCAGGGCTACGGCAGCTGGAGACCTCCAGGACCAGCCACCACCATGCTGAGACCACTCTCCGCACACCTGAAGGTACTGGCAGAGGGACAAAGCCACGCGGGTTCCGGGGCCGAGACCTCCAAGCCTACTCGAATTGGAGTCGAGCATCTTCCACCCAGATCCTCCAAATTCCAGTAGGCGGGGGTCACACCCACCACCTGGCCCCCTGGCGCCGTGTAATCCCATCAGCGGCCAAGACTCAGAGACTATAAAATCCAGATCCCGGACGAGAGCAGTGCAGTCTCTGCCCCCGCGCTTCGGTGTTCCTTCCCGGAGTCCCTTGGAGGGGAGCGGGTTGAGCTTTCTCCCCGCCCCGGCCAGGGCTACGGCAGCTGGAGACCTCCAGGACCAGCCACCACCATGCTGAGACCACTCTCCGCACACCTGAAGGTACTGGCAGAGGGACAAAGCCACGCGGGTTCCGGGGCCGAGACCTCCAAGCCTACTCGAATTGGAGTCGAGCATCTTCCACCCAGATCCTCCAAATTCCAGTAGGCGGGGGTCACACCCACCACCTGGCCCCCTGGCGCCGTGTAATCCCATCAGCGGCCAAGACTCAGAGACTATAAAATCCAGATCCCGGACGAGAGCAGTGCAGTCTCTGCCCCCGCGCTTCGGTGTTCCTTCCCGGAGTCCCTTGGAGGGGAGCGGGTTGAGCTTTCTCCCCGCCCCGGCCAGGGCTACGGCAGCTGGAGACCTCCAGGACCAGCCACCACCATGCTGAGACCACTCTCCGCACACCTGAAGGTACTGGCAGAGGGACAAAGCCACGCGGGTTCCGGGGCCGAGACCTCCAAGCCTACTCGAATTGGAGTCGAGCATCTTCCACCCAGATCCTCCAAATTCCAGTAGGCGGGGGTCACACCCACCACCTGGCCCCCTGGCGCCGTGTAATCCCATCAGCGGCCAAGACTCAGAGACTATAAAATCCAGATCCCGGACGAGAGCAGTGCAGTCTCTGCCCCCGCGCTTCGGTGTTCCTTCCCGGAGTCCCTTGGAGGGGAGCGGGTTGAGCTTTCCTCCCCGCCCCGGCCAGGGCTACGGCAGCTGGAGACCTCCAGGACCAGCCACCACCATGCTGAGACCACTCTCCGCACACCTGAAGGTACTGGCAGAGGGACAAAGCCACGCGGGTTCCGGGGCCGAGACCTCCAAGCCTACTCGAATTGGAGTCGAGCATCTTCCACCCAGATCCTCCAAATTCCAGTAGGCGGGGGTCACACCCACCACCTGGCCCCCTGGCGCCGTGTAATCCCATCAGCGGCCAAGACTCAGAGACTATAAAATCCAGATCCCGGACGAGAGCAGTGCAGTCTCTGCCCCCGCGCTTCGGTGTTCCTTCCCGGAGTCCCTTGGAGGGGAGCGGGTTGAGCTTTCCTCCCCGCCCCGGCCAGGGCTACGGCAGCTGGAGACCTCCAGGACCAGCCACCACCATGCTGAGACCACTCTCCGCACACCTGAAGGTACTGGCAGAGGGACAAAGCCACGCGGGTTCCGGGGCCGAGACCTCCAAGCCTACTCGAATTGGAGTCGAGCATCTTCCACCCAGATCCTCCAAATTCCAGTAGGCGGGGGTCACACCCACCACCTGGCCCCCTGGCGCCGTGTAATCCTATCAGCGGCCAAGACTCAGAGACTATAAAATCCAGATCCTGGAACCGCGCGGCCGCATTCGCGGCCTCGCGACATCTTATTATCTCATTCCTACTTTGGACAAACTTGCAGGCTGTCGAATGTAGCCTGCCCACAGGGCAGAGTCTGGCAAACTCCCCGTGGCCTACCAAATATGCCAAATACCAGTAACAATGATGGGTCTCATTCTCCTAAAGAGCCCTGAATATAATCTCAGGGCTAGGATGAAAGAGACGTTACTGGGGCCTGCTCGAGGCAATCGACGATTAACAGGATGATGAAATGAAATGAAAAAATGAAAAAGAGAATTCCAGTATTACATTCAGTCATTGTGAAGAGTAAATAAGCTTCTGTGTAGTAATATGCCCCTGAGTTTCTCCGTTTGGGGTTATATGCTGCTTGCCTGCAAACTGTTCCTCACGTGTGCATAGTACACTTCAAACAGTTACTGTGATTTTATTTACCTGCTTCTCAATCTTGACAAATCCAAGCATCAAGTTTGTGAGCATACGGATGGGGAGAGATTCTTGGTAAATATCGATTGGTCAAAGTACTGATTTCAGTTTTCCATACAATGGGCATTAAGGAAAACCAGTTTCAGTCTTTATCAGTCCTTAATTTGTTTTCTTTGGGTCACATGTATGAGATTTTGTATTTTATATGCTGTTCTATTTTAGGTAAAAAAATCTTTCACAGTATAGGCTGATTTTTATATCAAAATGTCAAAGTATTTTGAAAGACAGGAAGTATAAAATATTATTTTAAAGTTTGGTTAATTTTAACCCAGTAATTCTACCAATTGGAGTTTATTTTACATCAAATGAAACTAGAAAGATTTCTATACAAAATTTGTTTAAATAACCTAAATGTTCACATTGTAAATGACGTTCAACTTTTTTGCATCTGAAGACTGGGAAAAATAGAAATATTCCACAGACCACTAAAGTAGAAATTTAAAAATAACATTATTATTTGTGCATCAATTATTTGTAATAGTATTACTGCTTCATCCAGGCAAGCCCTATAGTAAGCCACTGTTTTTAATGGATTAGCATATAACTAGTATATAACATATATGAAATAGAATTAGCTGTAAAGTCTTCACATTTAGGACATACAGATTAAATGGGAGAAATATTCAAATATAAAGTTACTTATACTTTGCATATTTTGCTATATGCATATTTAATGCATATAGTAAATGTTTCATCACTATCATCTCATTGTTCATCGATTTGCTCAAGCGGGCCCAGTAACATCTCCATTCGTCCCTGTCACGTGCTAGTGTAGCCGATGACATATTGAGGGGCTCTTTCAGGGTCAGGGGAATGAGGACCATCATTGTTACTGTTTTTGGCATATCGAGTATGCCATGGGGAGCTTGCCAGGCTCTGCTATGTAGGCAGGATACTCTCAGTAGCTTGCTGGGCTCTCTGAGAGGGATGGAGGCTTTTGGGGCAGCCTCTAATCACCTTTACAGGTGTTCCCAGTCAGGCATATATGTGGGCATGATACTCTCAGTAGCCTGCCAGGTTCTCTGGTCACGGTCACGGTCTTCCTGTTATTCATCGATTTGCTCGAGCGGGTCCAGTAATGTCTCCATCATGAGACTTGTTGTTACTGTGTTTGGCATGCCGGGTTCTCTGAGAGCGAGAATTAGAGAATAAGAGGTTGTGCGGCTGCAAATGCGGCCTTGTTCTGTCCCGGGAGCTTGGTT